ATATATATATATATAATACATGTAATAGCGGTGCGCACCAAGCAGCTGGTGTGATTATGCGTTTTGTGCAGTTCCATCCAGCGGACGTTTGTTTTCTAAAATTTAACTGTTTTACACTTTCATGTATGCAAAGATAGTCGATACGTTGTCTGGCTCCTAAGTTTTCATCAGACTGCTTCAACATTTCCATGCAGTGATGCGAATGATTGTAAATAAATTCAAGCAAACACACAAAATTACAATGATCCTAGAAAATTTATGAAAAAATGCCCAGAATTTTTTGTTTCCATGAAGTTTTGGATTGAGAAAGAAGCCATGCGACTGCAGTTGACAGTTAAGTGAAAGTCTTTAAAAAATCCCCGAAATTGTCAGTAGCTTCAAAATGTCTATGTAGATCACTCAATCATACTGGAAAAAAAAATTCCGCATTCTCTCAGAAATACAAGGTCACAATTCAAACAAAAGACATTTTACAATATCTGACAAAAAACTTTAAATTTTTACCTTTTTAGCACGAAAAAATACAGTGTTGAGTAATTTTTAACACTTTAAGCGCGTAAAAAATGCTGCTGATCAAGGACATAATATTTTTCTAAGCGTAAAAACATTCGAAGAAAGGATGCTAATGTTCAGTATTCTCAAAGAAAACCCGGAAATGGTCAATGCCCTAGCAAGAGTATCTGTCCGGAGAACTAATCGGGTAATTTTTTCAAGAGATGAAACAAATGTCAGGATCACCAATAAGCTAATTAATAGGCAATAGGCATTTGTCAGAGCAACTGGAAAAGTTTTCAGCTACACGAGCTCGACGGTCAGGCAATTGGTGAAAATACTGGAACGTGAAAATACAAATGTCATTACGAGAAACTTTGAAAACAATAGCAAGGTTGCTAATTTTTTCGATTCACCTAAAATTACAGTAGAAGTACACCAATCAAGTGGCTATTTAGCCCTCCACGTGATCCTTGCTGGTAAAGTAAGCAAGTATCCATGGTCGTAGATGTAAATTCGTTTATCATATGGATTATACGCAATCATATTAGCATTACGATATAAATTAACCCAGTTGATATTCGGATTACGGTATTTATCGCGATATAAGTCATACGCAATCGCGATTTCACTTTTCAGATCATGCGAACTTCTCACCTGCAAATCTTTTTGTTTGTTTATTTCAACTTCTACTAAAAATGAGTTTCAGAAAACCGGCGTATGTGAGTTGTTGAAAAAATGTCAGGAATGCTAAAACCGTCCCGACAGTCAGCTTGCATATTTCATGTTAGTGATAATACTGAGATGCATGCACTTGCTACGCTCTGACATAAAACATCTTGGTGTTCTGAATTGCCTGTTTTCTGCTTAAAATTTAAGCAGAAAGCAGGCA